GGGGTTGGGGGCAGGGAGCTCCGACGGGGGAGATAGGGTCTGGAGGCTGTGGCGGCGGTGAAGGGTGGTAGAGAGCTGGGCGGCGAGATGGGGTCGTTTATACTTCATACCGAGGGCGTGCGGGTGGCTAGGGTTTCTGGGAAGGCCGGAGTGGGCTGGGCCGTGGGCCAAATGGGCCCTCTCTCGAATATCCAGATCTCTTTTCCAGTCGCCTCTTTGTCCCAATCGGGTCACAATAGAGGAGAGCACTAGTTATGAGCATCTCTATAAAAACTAGATGATGCCCCGCACGTTGTTGCGGGAATATTTTGCAGTATTTTAGTGAGATTTTGGTTATATGAAACATGAATATTTAAAATAATAGTTTTTAAAATTATATATGAAATAAATTTAATATCATAATAGAATGAAATTTTACATGCATGCATGTTTGCATGTTGAAGTGGATTTTTAATATGCATAGTTGCATGTTGAGGTGAGCCTTTCCTATGCATGTTGAATGATGAGATGGCATGCTTGCATGTTAAGAGAAATATGTTAGTGGGGGCTAGCTATTTAGATATAAAAGATATAAGCCGCGCTTCTAGAATGAGCTGGTTGACCTATACCACCGTGAAGAGATATTGTGGTGGCAGCGAACGCGTCTGCAATGGCTCGTCCATGGGACAAAAACACGTATTTTTTTCATCTACGGGCTAGCAGACGCAGGAGGAAGAACTAGATAAAGTCGTTGCAACTGCCGGACGGCCGAATTACGGAGGACAGGGATGAGCTCGAAGCGGTGACCACAAATTTCTATGAAAATTTGTACAGGTCGGAGGGAGTGCAGAACATGGACCAGGTGATTAACACGGTTCCTCGCAAGGTCACGGCCGAGATGAACACAAATACTTAATGCTCTGTACACACACGAAGAAGTTAAACTAGCTTTGTTCCAGATGTTTCCTTTAAAGGCACCGCGGCCAGACGGTTTCCCTGTGTTATAATTAGATTATAACTGTCTTAAGCAGTTATTTAGTGTCCAAAGTGTCGTGCAGAAGCACAGACGCCTTCTTTGTGTAAAGGCACCAGATCCCTACGAAGAGGCACCTATTCATTCAACAGACACTTTGTACAAGCGTCTCCTCTTGTAACCGACATCCTGAACAGACGTGAATCCTTGTATAAATACATCAAGTCAATGATCAATGAAGAAGAAGTTCTTTCCAATCACTTCGTTTGTTTACACGTTATCAACACGAGTCATATTTACAATCCCTATGGGTACTTGAGTAGAATCAAGGATGCTTTATCATGTCGAATCAACTCGTACCATATTAAACTATAGAGATATCCGTCAAAATAGTTTTCATAATGAAACTTATGATGGCAACAAAGAGGGATATCTTTTTTTTTACCATATGCAACGGATATGGCAAGCACATTCTCTAGGTATCATCATAGTTGTACTACACATACTACAAAATCCGTAGCACATGTTGCGTACGAGATAGTTTTCCAAAGTATCTTTTGCATGACAAACTTGGCATTCCCGCTTTGGTCATCATTGACATTGGATTGAAACTGAAATTAGCAATTCCATTGGTTTATGATTATTATGGTGCTAAATTCTAACAATATCTGGATTTTGTGTGCACTACATGTGACGCAGGGAAGCTAATTTTAAGGCTCGCGCACCTTAAAGTCAACGCTGAACCACTCAGACTCCTTGAATGCATCAAGTTGAGGTAAGTGACTCTTCCCAACCATTTGAGTGGACTATTCAGGTATTTCATGGTTCTAAAAGACGTATCTACACGATGGTCTTAAGTGTGTGCTTTATTCACATGAAACCATTGGCTCATTATCCTGACATCAATTTCAAGCAAATCGAATGGATAACATTGCGGAATTCTCCTTCAATGCCTTCTCTATGGCACTCGGATTGAAGTTTAGCAATTTTTCCTAATGTCTAGACTCAAAATGGTTTGGTAGAATCCTTTTATCCAAAGAGTTAAGCTCATTGCATTATCTTTACTTTGGAATTACAACTTACCAACTTTACGTTGGAGTCATGTAGTTTTACACGCTCATGACAGAACTGCATAACATTATTCCTCTTTATCTTTGATACGTGGAAATCTACCAAGTATTTCCCATCTGCGGTAATTCGGTTGCATACCGATATTACCACCCGGCATACGTCATTGGCCCCTCAACATATAGTTGGGATCTATGTGAGGAATAACTATATTTCTGTCAATACCTCAAGCCCCTCGAATGGGGAGTTATTCAAGGCCGGTATGTTGATTCAATGAGGAATATTTCTAGGCATTATGGGGAGAATTCAAGTACCATAAAGAATGCTAGAAAATTAGTGGAATGTTCAACGCATTTCTGCCTCAATTCCACGTAATCAAAGATCTGAACCATGCGTTCAAAAGGTTTGCAACACATTGCAAATAACCTGCCAAATGCATTTACTGACTATAAGGGTGTCACACAACCCTACAGTCCTGCAAAAAATGCCTAAAAGAGTGAAGATACCAACCACTCCACTCCCCATTCGAAGCAACAGGGGGAGATTATGGCAAAAGTACACTAGGATTCAGCTTCTCGCAAGCAAGGATACCAAGGCCTCCAAATAAGTAAATGCAAGTCAACTTCACATTGACATAGACACCTAATGGGTAGTATACACCCGGTGGACGGGAAACCTCCACCAACCCAGGTCATAATGCACACAATGACTGGGACATTGGAATACCCGACTCAACCGCATTGGGAAATCGCGAGCAGTCATCATGGGTAAAGATATTTCCATCAACTCTATATTGATATATAGATTCTGGAGAAACATATAACCTGAAGTCTACAATTGTCGACATACATTTCTCAACTAGATTGCAAAACCCTTTCAAATGATTCAGATCCAAAGACCATGGCCATGTCAAAGTGTGAACAACACTCGGACTGAACTTGAGCAAAGGGTATAATCTGGGTAGAAACGATCTTGCTCAATAATGGGAAGGTATTCATAATCAATACCTACACCAGTTTTCTTCTGGAAACAGAATTGAGAACAACGAGGTGGTGAAACAAAGAGCAAGTATTGTAGCACAAGGGTTCACGCAAATACCCAAATATTCTTCAGAGGTGGAATATCTTTCCGATAACTTATGTCATTGGCAGTACAAAATCGTCTATCTATGCAGTTGATAGATGTAGTGATTACATATCCATGTGGACCACTAGATTCAAATATAGATGGTTCCCGATGGAATCTCACTTCTGAATCAAAATGCAAAATGCAACATAAATTGTGTAAAATCAATAAGTCACCATATGGCTTATTATTATCGGTACATTTGGTACAACCGACGTAGTGATTTCCTTACACACAAGGATTTCTCCTACACTGATGATTACAGATACATGTTAAGCATGTGATCATCTAAATGACAGAATTTGAGATGAAGGATTTGGGTAAAACCTCGAGCACCTTCACTCATACATTATGGTACACCATGTTGTCTATATCCAAATTATATTGGAGAAATTGATTATGAACAAGTCTTATCCATCCATAATTTCCATGGTTATTTGTTCTCTACACATAGAGAAAGATTCATCTAGACCATGAGGAGATGGAAATAAGATGTTGGGACCTAAGGTTCCATAGCACAGTGCATGCATTGGATCCACCAAACACAATTGGTTGAGGCTCAAGAATATCCTTCGATATCTCCAAGGCATCAAACATTTTGTCCTAATCTCAGTTTTAGAGAAATATGGACACCAATATCATTGGATACATCGATCAGATCCCTACTATGTCAGATCGTAGACGAAGCTTTGTGTTCCTACTAGGTGTGGTAGCCATACATTAAAGTCTTTGAAACAAACCTCGTGGCTACATCCACCAACAATTATCTAAAAGATAATGTTGCTTATGTTGCCCGGATGCAAACATGTTACATAATAAGCAATATCACTATATTGCATATCTTGCAAGTTAAATCATGTGCCTGATTTGTTCACCAAGTCTCTACAACTTCTATGTGTCATAAATATGTTCATGGAATTGGTATGTGATGGCTTCGGATTTTGCTAGAATCAAGGGGAGTATCTTCCCGAGTTGTTCATGTTCAAAGCATCATATTATACTCCTTTTCCCTTCATGAATTTACTTTATTGGTTCTCATAAAGGTTTTTAATGAGGTAATATCAACATGAGATCATATGTCATACTTTCTGTTTTCCCCATCGGGTTTTTTAGGAAAGTATAACGGCATATTTATTGTCCTCTAAACTCTATGGGTTTTCACGTATTGAGTTAAAAGAGACAATACCATTATATGTTGCATCGTTTTCTCCTTATTTTTCCCACTAGGTTTAAAGGAGTTTTAGCAACATATAAAACACTATTCTCTCATATTTTTCCCATAGGGTTTTTGGAGGAGTTACTATACAACTATGATCAAGATGAAAGGATTCTCAAGACTATACAAGGAATGGAAGTCATACCAGAAGCAGCTTTGTGCAAGGGGAGTGTTTAATTAGATTATAACTGCCTTAAGCAGTTATTTAGTGCCCAAAGTGTCGTGCAGAAGCACAGACGCCTTCTCTGTGTAAAGGCACCTGATCCCTACGAACATGCACCTATTCATTCAACAGACACCTTGTACAGGCATCTCCTCTTGTAATCGACATCCCAAACAGATGGGAATCCTTATATAAATACCTTAAGTCAATGATCAATGAAGAAGTTCTTTCAATCACTTCGTTTCTTTACACCCTGCACATTTGCGGCATTAGGACGCATGCGGTGATGAAGTAACTAAAGCAGTACTCAGAATAGTGGATGGCATGGAGTCAGCTCAATGTATAAATGATACCTTGCTGGTGTTAATACAAGGTCAAGAACCTGAACCTTCTATCACATTTTCTCCCTATAAACCTATGCAACGTTCTTTACAAGATTGCATCCAACGTAATCTCCAATAGACTGAAGCAAGTTCTGCCAGATATTATGTCAGAGCAACAGTCCACTTTCGTTCCAGGAAGGTTAATCACTGATAACATTATCACAGCCTATGAGTGTCTCCATTTTATGAAGAGGAACAAAGCCAAGAAAACCCAACATTGTGCACTGAAACTGGATATGATGAAGGCACATGACAGGGTAGAATGGTCGTGGGCAAGATTTAGATTATTCTTAGTATGAGTTGATGGGACATCCCATGCGAGTGCGGAGGAGGGATGCGTGGATGGCCCGCTTTGTTGCCTCTTATCATGCCATTCGACATGCCGAGACGCATGATGAGCTTCAAAAGGATCTACTCAAGGAGTGGTGGTCATGGAATGGGCAACAAAACTAGTTTGATGTTGTATGTTTGTTGTATTGTTGACTATTTGTTGTATTGTTGTTGAATTATTTGTTGTATTATTCATGAACTATTTGTTGTATTGAATACAAACTATTTTTTTGAATTGTCGTAATAATTAAACTATTTATTGTTGATTTATTTTGTGTGTGTTTGATCTTCTTGGTTCTATGTTTGAGTGGGAAATGTTGTTTGTGATGGGCGCGCGCGCTGGAATTTAGCGCGCCTCCTGGAGCGTTACCTGTGCCGCGCGATATTATAGCGCTTCTGGTAAAGCAAAACACCAGCCGAGCGCGCTAAAATGCTATTTTAGCTCTGCAAAAAAATTAACGCCCCGCGCTACCGCGCGTTTGTTGGAGATGCTCTAACATTTTAGATGAACACAATACAAGCTCTGCTTACAATGATATGTTGATGTACTTGGAATTGTTTATATATAATAAGTCATGCGATTTTTAAGGATTTCTCTATAAATCAAACATTGGATTAAGCGTGGCAAATCGAACGTTCAAGATGGCAAATTATGTTGTTGGCAAATCAAATGTTCGAGATGGCAAATTATGTCGTTGGCAAATCGAACGTTCGAAATGGCAAATTATGTTGTTGTGAGGATAGTAATTTCTAGCAATCATGAAAATCCTTGTCATGTTTCAGTTTTTTAGCAATCATGAGAGTCCTTGTCATGTTTAATTTTTTGCCAGGAATTGACATGCTCGCTAAAGGAAATTGCCATCCTCACGACAACATAATTGCCATAGAAAACGTTCGATTTGTTGTGCTTAAAACATTTGTATTTTTTGCATTTACCTTTTTAAAATCTCAGTCATATATTTAAAGCCCTCCGATCAAAGGTCTAACCATTCTCGTTCTGAGCTCACTCCAAGTGATGTATGGAGAATCTCAATCCCTGAAATTGCACTACTAAAACTAAAACTGCATCAACTAAGTTATGCCACTACTGAAACTAGTAGATTGCCCGTGCGTTGCCACAGGCCGAAAATGAATATGTAAACAATGCTCAATTTATAGTTGCAATCATCTTCCATTGTAAATGTTGCGGCGGGCCTCATTGTAAGCATTTTTCTGGTTTCTTGCTCCTCCATTTTATAGCTGCAATCATCTTCTATTCCTACACATGCTTCCAATCATATGTTTTGGATACCTCCAGATTGAACGCATCCCAATTCTTTTTGTCCTTGTCTTTCTTATCGCGGAGGCATCATCTCCTTAACCATTAGTGAAAAACAAAGCGGCCTATCTCTTGCTGTCCCTCCTCCCCATTCACCTTTATCTCTTTTTTTTTGAAACGAGGCAAAAGACTTGCCATTTTCATTCATTAGAGATTGAGAATTGCCCGTTAATTGACGAGAAATCGGGCTAAAAATGATATATCCAACCCACATAACATGGGTACACCGGCCAACCTTGCTATCGAACATAAAGCTACAAAGAGGAAAAGACATCTGGCGAGCAGCCGCAAGTGTCATCGTCATCACCGGTTACCTCCGAACGAGCAACTCTGACTTCACCATAGACCTTCATCGTCGAATCCAACCCCGCAAGCAGCTACACCGAAACCATGACGACACATGACAACAAAAGGCCACACACACAAACAACCGACAACTCCGACTATGACGACGGGCATCACAGGGGAAATATGCAGGGCTTGCGGCGCTGCAGCTTTGACTTCAAAGCAACCAAGCAACCAGCAAAAGAGCACCTCGGACACGTCAAGAAGATCTGACTACTGAAGCCCGAGCCACGAATGAAGATCCTCTCGACTCCATCATCGTTGCCAAACAGACACCATCGCCCCCGAAATGGCTGCCTCAACAAACTACATGGCGAAGATGCCGCAAAGCATGCAGTGAACATGCCGCCATCCACCAGTCTCCAGGTAGTGGCCGACTTTGAGACGAGGCCCCAGAGAAGGAAGAAGACGTGAAGGCCCCTTTGTCACCCGATCCTGAGGATCTGAGCTTTCCCTCTGGAGACAAGGCCGCGGGGACGGGCCGAGAGGAGCACCACACAGCAACAACGCTTCCAAGAAAGAGCACGACGCCCACGGGCATCGCCGTCGCCGGACCCGGCAAAGGCCAAACATAGGGCTTCTCCCGGAGATACTCAACCATCAACTGCTCGCACCAACACAACAAACCAACCCCATCCTGTCGAGGCCGACAATGAACTTGTCATGGGGTCCCACGATGCACCACGTCTAGACGCACGCACCACCTCCTCCCCCAGCCACAACCACTAACACCAAATCCGGGGCCACCGCTCCAGCAGCCTCCACCATGCCACAACAACATCGGGCTAGCAAGATGGCTAGATTCGTTGCACCAAGCCTGGAGGGGGCCACCACCCCGCCCCATCCCACAGAGCAGAGCTGCCGGGCCGAAGCCTGAGCAAGCCGCAGCAGCCGCAACCCCGCCCTTGGAGTGGGTGGCAAGTAGCCAACTGTCGGATCCACACGCCAGTAGCCGCCGGAGTGCCGCCAACCACCACGCCGTCCCTGCCAGATGTCGTCGAGGCACCCCAAGGCCACTCCCCAAGCAACATGAAGAAGGATACCCATCTCCCGGTTGCTTCGTCATTGCCCACGCGGCCGAAGGGGACCGCCACATCTGCAATCACACCGACCAGACCAGCGTCGCGACCAACCTCAAGGCCGCCGCCCCGAGTTCCCAGCACCATTGTCAGAACGACGTATGGGTGCCCCATTGCCGCCACGCAAGCGCCAGCGGCAGTGGTGTCAGGCCTCTTGATTTGTCCTATCCTCTGGCGGCTAGGTTTGGCGCCCTGGTGCCACCAGGAGCGGCACTCGAGTGGTGTCTTTTCTCTATGGGACCAAATTTTACCTCTATCTATTCACCCCCCCCCTTACTCTAGTATTATTGTCAAATCCCAAACTTTATCTTCTCACTTTACCATCATTTGACGTTTTTATTTTCAACTTTAGGAAACCAATGAAATGGTCCTCATGTACTGCGAAAGATGGCATATTGTCTGCTTTAAAATGGAACAGTTCTCACGGGCACTATTCAAGGAAGAAAAATAATACGGTTAATTAGCAAATGCCATATGTGTAGATCGGAGAATGGTAAACACTCAAAGGTAGTTTCTGCACCCATTACTTCTTTTTCTTTTTTGCGCCTTGTCACACCCATTACTAACTGCAAGGAAATTTCGCATTACCTATGATGGTCTGTATCGCCATGGGGTGGAACCCAGGAGCACAGGACGAAGGCAGGATGGGATAAGGGAGGGTGTGAAACCTAGTAGCCCTGTTCTGAGGAAAAGGGAATGGTAGAGAGAAAGGACATACCATTTTGTATAGAAATTTGGACAAGCTTTGTGTAGGTAATGTTCAATATTAATGTGAGAACAAAAGTGTTAACAATTTTCAACATGATAACTGCCATGGTGTATTGACCGGGAACTAGTTACTTACTAAAGATCACATAAGTGCGACTTTTGGCATTTAATGAATAAGAATGTATTCACAATCAGAGAGGTATGTTCCGGTTCTTATATGATTATGGGTTATAATTTGACCGTTCTTATCATGGGTTATAAAACCGAAAACATTATTAATTATATGCATGAAACAAATAAATAAATGTGAAACTTCATTGTTAATTTATCTTTGCCACTCCATGTAATCGGAAACAAAAAAAATTATAAACACGTTGATGCATAAGACAAGCAATGGTCTTGAGGCAGGAGGGTTAGAGGAGGGCGACGAGACCTAGTTTGTCTCCACTGTGGTCTTCTCGTATGGTCCTTGTTGGGGAACGTAGCATGCAATTTAAAAAAAAATCCTACGACCACGCAAGATCTATCTAGGAGATGCATAGCAACGAGAGGGGGAGAGTGTGTCCATGTACCCTCGTAGACCGAAAGCAGAAGCATTAGGTTAACGCGGTTGATGTAGTCGAACGTCTTCACGATCCAACTGATAACCCACAAGTATAGGGGATCGCAACAGTTTTCGAGGGTAGAGTATTCAACCCAAATTTATAGATTTGACACAAGGGGAGCCAAAGAATATTTGAAGGTATTAGCAGCTAAGTTGTCAATTCAATCACACCTGAAGATTAATTATCTACAGCAAAGTGATCAGTAGCAAAGTAGTATGATAGTTTTGATAATAGTAGCAGTAGCAATGGTAACAGTAACAGTAATAGTAGTAATTTGGTAGCAAGTGTAACAGTGATGATAGCAGTAGTAACTTAGCAAGAACAATATAGGATAAATTTGTAGGCATTGGATCGGTGACTTGCTGGATGATATTCATCATGAGACAGTTATAACCTAGGGCAATACGGCACTAACTCCAGTTTGTCAATATAATGTAGGCATGTATTCCGTAAATAGTCATATGTGCTTATGGAAAGAACTTGCATGACATATTTTGTCCTACCCTCCGTGGCAGCGGGGTCCATATTGGAAACTAAGGGATATTAAGGCCTCCTTTAATAGAGAACCAGAACAAAGCGTTAACACATATTGAATACATGAACTCCTCAAACTATGGTCATCACCGGGAGAAGCCTCGGTTTCTGTCAGTCCGGGGTTGCCAGATCATAACACATAGTAGGTGACTAACTTGCAAGATCGGATCTAGAACATGGATATAATGGTGATAACATAAACGGTTAAGATCTGAAATCATGGCACCCGAGCCCAAAGTGACAAGCATTAAGCATGGCAAAGTCATAGCAACATAAATCTTAGAACATAGTGGATACTAGGGATCAAGCCCTAACAAAACTAAATCAATTACAAGATGAATCTCATCCAACTCCTCACCGACCAGCGAGCCTACGAAGGAATTACTCACTCCCGGTGGGGAGCATCATGAAATTGGCGATGGAGAAGGGTTGGTGATGACGAAGAACGAAGATCCCCCTCTCCGGAGCCCCAAATGGACTGCTGGTCTGGCCTCCCGATGAAGAACAAGAGGTGACGGCGACTCCGTCTCGTGGATCACGATAATTCTTTCTCCCTGATTTTTTTCTGGAAAAATAGGATTTTATAGCGTCGGTTTCAGGGTCTGCGGGGCCACCAGGTGGGGACGACCCACCTGGGCGCGCCAGGAGAGGGGGGCGCGCCCTGGTCGGTTATGCCCGCCCAGGTGCCCCTCTCCGGTAGGTATTGGCTCCAGAATTTTTTATTTATTATATAAAAATTCCCCGCAAAATTTCGTTCCATTCCGGGAACTTTTATTTCTGGATAAAAACAACACCATGGTAGTTCTACTGAAAACAACGTCAGTCCGTGGTTAGTTTCATTCAAATCATGCAAATTAGAGTCCAAAACAAGAGGAAAAGTGTTAGGAAAAGTAGATACGTTGGAGACGTATCAACTCCCCCAAGCTTAAACCTTTGCTTGTCATCAAGCAATTCAATTGATAAACTGAAAGTGAAAAAGAAAAACTTTTATGAACTCTTTTGCTCTTGTTTACATAAATAAGCTTAAACAGCACCCCAGTTTTCAGCCAACATTATAACTAACCATGCCGACAATAACTCTTAAAGATTATATTAACTCGTATCAAGGACATAATCAGCTAGCGAGCAATAATAAGGTATCTCAAATGGCAACATATTGTCAAAACAACCATGATATAATATGACAATAGTGGTATCTCGCTAGCCCTTTATGAGACCGTAAAACATAAATGCAGAGCACCTCCAAAGTTCAAGCAGTGGGTAACATTGTAATTCATGGTAGAAATGATCTAGTCATGATGCACCCAACATTACTACTCACAATGCATAAGTCATGACAGCTGTGCTCTCAGGTTCCACGCTTGTTTCAGAAGGTGATGACACAAATAAAAGTAAATAGATAGTCCCTTCGCAGAGGGAAGTAGTGATTTGCAGAGGTGCTAGAGCTCAAGTTTTTAAAATAGATGTAAATGATATTTTGAGACATGCACCCTTCTCATTTAATTCACGACCATCAGTTATCAATATCTTCCATGCTAAGCACGCTAATGGCGGTTCCCAAGCGATAAAAAGTAAAGGTTTTGACTCCATTGGGAGTTCTTGTTTGATTATTTGAGAGATTAACTCTTTTTGTGTTTGCAGTTTGGGACTGGGCATCCATATTACCGCCCTTTTCTCATGCGATGGCGAGTGAATAAACACTCGACCTGAGAATAACCCGCTTAGCATGGAAGATACCGACCACCTCCTGTCATTCCATGAATGACCCAGGCACACAAAAAGGATATTTATTTAGAAGTTTTTAGAGGTGGCACATGCAAATTTACGTAGGACGGCAGGGTAATACCGCATATAGGTAGGTATGGTGGACTCATCTGGAATAACTTTGGGTTCAAGATTTTTTTATGTACAAGTAGAATTCCAACTTAGTACAGGCAAAGGCTAGCAATTAGATTGAGAAGCGGCCAGCTAGAGAGCAACAATGATCATGAACATGCATTATGCATAAGTAACATTGGACACTAGCATGAGTAGGATATGAACACCATGAACATAAATATCATAGAGGCTATGTTGGTTTTGATTCAGCTACATGCATGAACATGTGCCAAGTCAAGCCACTCGAATATTCAGAGGAGGATACCATATCATCATCCTACATCACAATCATTTTAACGCAATGTTGATATCCAAGATAAATCATTATCCACTCCCAGCTACTTATGCATGGCATGAGAAACTATAATCTATAATTGTCATTGCAAACATGTTTAATCATAATGGGCTGGATCATGGATACTAGGTTAAACATATTTACACAAATAGAACAAGTCGAGTTCATACCAGTTTCTCTCTGCCACGGCCAGTTCATCGAATATCGTCATTATTGCCTTTCACCTGTACGACCGAACGATGTGAAAATAATAATAATAATAATAATAATAATGATAATAATAATAATAATAATAATAGTGCAAGAGTGCCATGGACTAAGCTGGAATGTGCAAACATTTTATTCAACAGGAGAAGACAAGGTAAAATGTGCTCTTTATTAGATCAACAGTTATTCATATGAGAGCCACTCAAAATTTTCATCGTGGTCTTCTCCTTGGTGCAACTCGAATAAAAGGATAAGAAATTCAAAGAAACACACTGAAATATTTTTGGACTTTTTGGTTTTCTTGAACAAGCAAATAAAAAGGGAAAAGCAAAAACGAGAAAACTATTTACACGGGAAAGCTCCCAACAAGCAAAATAAGAACAAGGAAATCTTTTGGGGTTTTATTTTTAATGCTACAACTAAGCATGCATAGAAAGTAAACTAACTACAACTATTTTTTTGGTTTTTCTAAAGTTTTTCAAACACACATGGAGAAAGCAAGAAAAATAAACCTAAGCATGGATGATACAATGAAAAAGTGTGAACACCGACAAATGGAATAAGTGAACATGAATGTAATGTCGGTGAGAACATGTACTCCCCCAAGCTTAGGCTTTTGGCCTAACTTGGTAGTCGATCAAAAGCCTGGATGGTAGTAGGGGTACTGAGGAGCGGTCATCCACTGATCCCACTGCTGAGGCTCCTCCTCTGCCTCTGCAGCAGCCTGAGCATTCCGGTAGGCGATGATGTCCACAGGCATAATCCTATATCCGCCCCTGGCAATAGAATCAAACAAAGCAGGAGCAGGCAATGGAATAATATCACGAGTGATGACGCTGAAAACTAGGTTATATGGAACAGTGATGTTAGGAGACTCTTTATCAGTG